GCCAAACAGGAACAGACCAGATGAAGCTACTATGAGAAAAAGCAGAGAGAGCAGAACGTTAGAGATTGAACTAACAGATTCTGCAGAGATAGAATGATGAAAAGGGGTCTCTTTGTCCTCCAGCAGTCTAAGTCTATAGCAGCAGAACTATAGAGATAGCTCTGAAAACAAAAACACACAAAGCTGTAAATCCTGATTTATTTCTAAGTTCAATTCTGTTAAACTTTACTTTGCACATATAGTCTTACTTTCTGTGGATTATTTTTTAATTTGTTCCAGAGCTGATGAGCGTTCATGTTTTTTTATTTTCCCCTGAAATCCCACATCCTCCATCCCGCACCGACCGCCTGCTCAAAGCAAAGCCTACAGCCGCTGCGGTTCCTCCCATCTTTCTCCGCTCCGAGTTCCTTGGAGCTCGAGGAGAACACGTTATATTTTTATTTGGCAATTCATAGGAAAACAATACAAGGTAATGAATGCTTAATTTAATATAAAGTAATAAAAAATCCCCATCAGCATCCAGCATATGTGCAGTTTCTCCCTGTTGTGGGGAAAAAAGTATTCAACTATTAACCTAGTTTAATAAACGGAGATCGATGGATTTGACTCAGACGGCACGTTATTTATGATATCCTTGCTAAGAGAGAACAGTTCATCATACAGCCCTTACCCACAGTAATCAGCCCTGTTCTGACTAGACCTGAGCTTGTCTCCCTTACTTACTTTTAGGAAAAAACTGTTAAGGTTGTGTCAGAGTCAAAACAAATTACACACTTTAACAACCCATGAGCAGGAATTTGGCTTGTCGTGGGAATAAGCATGTTTTGTCTAAAACCACCCCTCACTCTGACCTTTTCTCAGCCTTGCAGGTGAAACAAACCGAGTAAAACATGTATCACTGGATGGTTGCATAACTAAATATATGAGGGAGGAGAAATCAAAAATTTCCGACCACACTGCCAAACATGTTCTTTTNAAAAAAAAAACTAAAAGAGGGGGGGTCGGCATCCTGAGGCAGGCAGGCTTTCCACATGTGACTCCAGACACCGAATGGACGCTGGGAAGCTGCTTTGGGCCCCTGAAGGCTCCTCTCCTCGCTGCTGTTTCTCGTCGTAGCGCTGCTGAATGAGCGCAGTCATGCTGTCCTACCTAACGGGCTAAAAAAAAAAAAAAAGAGGAAAAAAAAGAAGAAAGGACTTCCAGGGATTTGACCAAGATGTATCGGAGTGGAAGGAAAACATGTCTGCTTTAATCTGGACGTCATTTTTATTCCAGGAGTTATTTCTCATCGCGGGGCTCAGATAAAATGAAACGGTAACTCTTTTAATTTCCATTAAATGTGTGGGTTTTATGGAAACCAGTCGGAGGTTTTTATTTATTAACACGAACTGCTGGTTAGCTGTTGTCCGAAGCGATGGTTGTTGTTCCTGCCGGGGAGCAGGGGGGGTGTTGTGCTCCATTCTGAACCTCTAGTTTTCAGCGCGGTTCCGATTCTGGAACACTTCATTTTATGTCGGGGGGGATTAAAAAAAAAATCCCCTTTAAGGCTGCGTAACGTAGCAGGCCTGCCCCGAGCGACCGTTAGCTTAGCGGGTTAGCTCACGCACAAACCAACACTTTTTCTCTTTTTTTCGCTCGGTCCTCCATTACTGACATAAATAAAATAAAAATAACCCCCCCGCTCTCCTGTCTATACATCTCAAATTAAACCGTTTTTGTTTCCATTTAAACGTAACTGCGTAGCGGTACACCGAAATAAGTTCCGTTATGTTTGCTTTAGCTAACCCCAGACTTGGCTGCTTTCTATCAGGGGAAAATAACTGATTATTATCGCCTAAATCATCGAGGTGACCCAAACTATGTCAGGTGACTGTCACTGAGGTTAAAGTCTGGCAAAAAAAACAAACAAAAGAAAAACCAACAGTTGCTTTCCAGTCAAAGTATTTTTACTTTTAGAACTGGATTTCTGTTTTTTCAATGGAATAGTTATCAACTGTATTCGAGTAGTGTTTTTAAGTTGTATTTATTGCATTTGAACACAGATATCTGTTTCTACTGGCTGCTATAGTGATGAGAGGATGACAAAACAGGATCAATGAAGGGAAACAATCTATTTGGAGCCCAGAAAGCCACGGATGGAGACATGGATGAAGGCAGGAGGCTGGGGAGCACTGCAGATGATCAGATCCACATCTGTCCCCATTTATTAGGAGATCAGATCCACATCTGTCCCCATTTATTAGGAGATCCGATCCACATCTGTCCCCATTTATTAGATCAGATCCACATCTGTCCCCATTTATTAGATCAGATCCACATCTGTCCCCATTTATTAGATCTGATCTACATCTGTCCCCATTTATTAGATCTGATCTACATCCATCTCCAATTGTTAGGAGATCAGATCCCCATCCATCCCCATTTATTAGGAGTTAGAGGCATTGGCTACAAGCAGGGGTGGATTTTAGGAAATCTGGGGCCCTAGGCAAAGACAGGAAGGGGGCCCTCTGATTTGAGAAGACAACACATAAAACAGACCCATTGTGCAGATACAGAAATTTTAATAGAATCAGGGGCCGTTTCTCAATTCACGAGAACGCGAGTACGGACTCGCGTTCTAGGTCTTGGGGAGAACGCGAGCACGCAGCATAGATACGGGTCAATTGAAACAGAAGCATACTCGTGACATCACCACACGTTCGGCTCTTCTAGAGCTGCATTTCACCTCCTGTTATTATTAGTCTCTAGATAGTAATAAAGTATCACTTTTTTTCATTTAGTGGGGGAATAATGATGGACACAGTCAGATAAACACAAATCAAACTAAAATTTGCCAAAATCGCCATCAGAGCCAGCGGTCCTTCACACACGGCTATGCCAAGAGAGGGCTGCTGCAGATGGGCTGCGGTTAGCCCTGGCTGCCCTTACCAGGCTAAGCTCCAACATCTAGAAACAAA